GCCCGAAAATCTCCTATTTTTTTGTGAATAAAAATTCCAAATGGAAAGCAAGGGGTAATATAAGAGGGGCCTGTAGCCGTGAATAATGAACAGAGAAAAATGTTATTTTAGTGCCAGGAATGTCTGCATTGTTTATTCTGGTCCTATTTTGAAATTGGGCATCTGTTGAAATTTGTGTGAAATCGGCCAAATTGCCAATTTCTGACCACTTTTTTGGGTATTGAAATAATTTGAATGGGCGGTTTCTTGTACTCAGTTGACAGACTAGAAGTAAAGCAGTTTATTCAGGTATACACAAATACAGTTACATAGATTATCATACATATCAGTGTATGTATAGAGAACCTAGGATAACCCAGAAAAGTCAGACAAAGTGACTTATTTCCAGTACCTGGCTTGGGCTTGCCATAATATGATTTTAGTAAAATTATTTTTTTTCTCGGTTGTTTGTTGGGCTATCTAAATTGAAACTTGGGCAATGTATGATGGAAAGATGCTTCTTAACGTACAATAAAAAAAATGACAGACGATAAATAAGGGAGTTCACTTCTCAGCCATTAGCCATCTCTTTGCAGTATATTTTCGTATGGTTTTTATGGTTGTACAGTGGACCCCCGCATAGCGACCTTAATCCGTGCAAGAGGGCTGGTTGTTATGCGAAATGTTCGGTATGCGAATGAATTTTCCCCATAAGAAATAATGGAAATCAAATTAATCCGTGCAAGACACCCAAAAGTATGAAAAAAAAATTTTTACCACATGAAATATACATTTTCCTACACACAAAGAGAAGGATACATGCACAATAGTAGAGTAGTACATGCATAATAATATATTGTGCATGAAACTACTCTACTAAATGAAGAATAAATGACACTTCCCTTTTATTGAAGATCAGCAATGACTGATGAGACACTGTGTCCTGGAGTGCCTTTTCCCCCTTTGAGTACTGTAGGTCCTTTTTAGGTATTTTCTTCCAGAACATGCCTTATCACACTGTGAAATGCCACTAACGATTCTTAAATCTCTCAAACCAACCTTTGCTGGCTCTAAATTCACCAATATGAGCACTATTCCAGGCTTTTTCCCTGTTCACCGGGGTTTTTAGTCACTTGTGGGGTTGCATCCTGGGAGACAAGTTTAAAGGGAAACCCCAATGGAAATAAGTTAGACAGTCTTCGATGACACTGACTTTTTTGGTTATCCTGGGTGGCAAATCCTCTGGGTTTTAAATTTTTTCTTGGTATTCTCAATAAGCCACACCAACAACGGTGCTACAGCAGCAGCAGCACTGACGGTGGTACAGCAGCAGCAGAACATGCTACAAACAGCAGCAGACGATGCTACAGCAGCAGCAGACGATGCACAGCAGCAGCAGACATGCTACAGCAGCAGCAGACGATGCTACAAACAGCAGCAGACGATGCTACAGCAGCAGCAGACGATGCTACAGCACAGCAGACGATGCTACAGCAGCAGCAGACGATGCTACAGCAGCAGCAGACGATGCTACAGCAGCAGCAGACGATGCTACAGCAGCAGCAGACGATGCTACAGCAGCAGCAAAACGATGCTACAACAGCAGCAGACGATGCTACAGCAGCAGCAGACGATGCTACAGCAGCAGCAGACATGCTACAGCAGCAGCAGACGATGCTACAGCAGCAGCAGACGATGCTACAGCAGCAGCAGACGATGCTACAGCAGCAGCAGACGATGCTACAGCAGCAGCAGAAAGATGCTACAGCAGCAGCAACTATGCTACAGCAGCAGCAGACTATGCTACAGAAACAGCAAAACGATGCTACAGCAGCAGCAGACGATGCCTCATCAGCAGCAGACATGCTGCAGCAGCAGCAGACGATGCTACAGCAGCACAGACGATGCTACAGCAGAAACCCGACGATGCTCAGCAGCAACAGACGATCTCAGCAGCAACAGACGATGCTACAGCAGCAGCAGACGATGCTACAGCAGCAGCAGACGATGCTACAGCAGCAGCAGACGATGCTACAGCAGCAGCAGACGATGCTACAGCAGCAGCAGACGATGCTACAGCAGCAGCAGAACGGTACTACAGCAGCAGCAGCAGCTGACGGTGGTACAGCAGCAGCAGCTGACAGTGCAGCAGCAGCTGACAGTGCAGTAGCGATGGTTGATTGGGGTTTATTATACAACCTGGCCAGGTCGGAGACACGCACTCCACTTTCATACTTATCAATGATCTTTTTCTTCATCTCCATAGTAATTCTCACCCTTATTGCTGTAGGGTTGGCACTAGAAGCTTTCTTGGGGCCCATGGTCACTTATTTTCCAGAAAAAATCACCAAAAACACTGTAATAATACGAAATGTTCCGATTGTATGCTTGGATGTTACCGCGGAGGCTGGCTGGTAAACAATGCCACCGGCGAACATGTGAGCGTGGCCCCAGGCCGCACATTGGAAAGCGTCCTCGGAGAAGGGCGTAGCGGGTTTTGGCGGGATGAGGCAAAATTTTTGCGAAACAAAGCGTCCTATGCGATTGTAACGTATCGATGCCGGAAAGGGGGGGGTCCACTGTATTCTCATTTTTTGGACTCATTTGATAGAATGGAAGATATATTACAGAAATAGACATGATTTTGATTGCTTTCATAACGAAAAGTTCCTCGAAATTGAGCTCAAAGTAGCGGAAATGTTCAATTTTTGCCGATGTTCAGTGAACTCTGTAAGTCAAGTTGGTTAATTTTATTAAGTGTATTCTAACCTAACCACTCTGTAATTCGGCAAACTCAGTAATCCGGCACACTACAGGTCCCAATGATGCCAGATTTGTGAGGGAGGACCTGTACTGACACTTCACTGGAGAATATTCCACTTCACTCTCACTAGTGGAACTGTTTTCAAGAGCTTGGAGCTCATATTCACTATCACTATCACCACTGTTCACATCTGTGTCCGACCGGAAAATACGAGATTCCTCTTGTTCTGGTGCAACTGAATGTACACAAGATGGCCCGGCACCAGATGTGGATGGTTGAGGGTCGTCTGGATTTTCATCGCCATTACCACTATTATGTTCATTATTCTCAGTCACAAACTCCTCAAAACCCTGGAAATCATCCTCACTGACACTTCCATCCATATTTGAACTGTCACTTGGGAACAAAAGAGTCCCAATTCGCCGAGGAGTGAGGAGCTTCTTACCGCGAGGCATGGTGGACAAGGTGAACTCAAATGGCATTCCCACAATGCACCACTGGGTGCCTAATTTTTTCCTTCTGCACACACTGACCCACGGCAGACCCATTCTCTCACATGTAGCCTTTCCAGCTTTCTCCCGCTTGATTGAAGGCGCTAGAATTTACGCATACAAGTACGTGACTGACCCTGGCTGCAATGATGTACTAGTACGTGACTGACCCTCAGAGGGTTAATAACTCCATGATCCAGTGGTTGTATTAACCTTTTGACTGTTGCAACCTCAAATCCTGAAGTGTCTCCTGTTGTCGAAGAATTTTCAAAAAAAAAAAAAATCTTGTGAAAATGTTAAGATTAATTTTCTGATTGTTTTAAGTCCCAAAAAACTTTTTTACAATCAGTACTTACCAAGATATAGAGGCATAAAATTGGCAGAAAATGAGCCGTGTATGGCAACAGTGGCGAATGTCATCCACTCGGTAAACTTTGGTTTACTTGCATTCCAAGGTTTCTTGTTTTTTTCACTATTTTATTTTTCAGGTAACTTATGTGGCCCTTGAGTCCAAACCAAAGTGCAATGTACATATGTACACTCGTATACAACACAATAAGTGCACAACATAATTATCTATATTGTTTACAAAACTTGTTTACACAAACAAACAATACAAAAAATTGTTTATTACTATTGTTTTATAATATACAGTCACCCTCAGCTAACGGCGGCATTTAGTAACGGCAATTTTGTCTAACGGTGCTTTTTGCTGTAGAAAAAATGCCTTAACCAACGGCGAAAAACTTAACCCACGACGTCAGTGTGCCATTGTTTACAAGCTGTTGTGGTCGGTTTCCACGGGTGCCTCCCATACATTTTGAATTATTCCACTGTTTCTAGTGCTTGTAACTGCTAAATAAACTTCCATGGGTCACATGAAAGCTTCTAGAGCCAGCCCTTTGGTAAAGGATTTGAGAAACACGATAGAATTCAAGAAAAAATTTGTAGAAAAATACAAAAGTGGTGGTGGTAGTGGTTGTGATGGTGGTAGAAGGTGGTAGTGGTTGTGATGGTGGTAGAGGGTGGTACTGGTTGTGATAGTGGTAGAGGGTAGTAGTGACAGTGGTAGTGATGGTGGTAGAGAGTGGTAGTGGTTGTGATGGTGGTACTGGTTGTGATGGCAGTAGAAGGTGGTAGTGATGGTGGTAGAGGGTGGTACTGGTTGTGATGGTGGTAGAGGGTGGTTCAGTGATTCTCAAGCTGGTCCTAGTGGCATTAAAAAACCAAGAAGGGAGGTAACCCCACCAAAGGACTTGGTACCTGAAGTCTTTATGGAAGGGGATTCTCCTTCCAAGCAATGGACAATTCTGAATTTCCCCTGCTGCGGGCACAACTCCACAATAAAGGTAAGTGGCATTTAATTATTGTTTATTTTGCATGTCCCATTCCTTTCCATATAAGGAAATGTATACACCTACCATCCGACTTACGACCAAGCTTGGTTCCGACCAACCGGTCGTAAGTCAAAATGGACACAAGTCGAACCTTTGAAAATTGCCGACATATTGGGTAGGGCATAATGTCAAAACTTTCCTATATAAACTACCTACATAATACTGTAATGTAATGTACAATCATTATTTCATTTTTTTTACCATAATTTACTTCTATTGTTGTATTTTAATTATTTATGTACTGTATATAATGTATACATGGTAGTGATTCAAATTCAAAGTTTATTCTCTATAAGGATTACAATGCTGAGTTTACAGAAATTTGGTAATTGTGTGATTTACATGTAGTAAAATAATGATTACAGAATGTACCACTAGAACGCCTAGCATGGCTAGGCTTTTCGGGCAGACTTAGTTTTATTCTTAATTGTAAAATATTACAAATTATGAGGTAAGTTGGTATAATGGCTAAGTGACTAAATACTAGTTTGTGAGTTTAGCAATGTGAATGCTTTTGTTTTGGCACAGTACATAGTTTCAGTATTGGAGTATCACAGGATTCATTATTTTAAGATTGAGATTAATATTTCTGTTTATGGTCAAATGGGTGAGTGAGTGTAAGTGTGAACCACCAGGTGGTATTCGTGTAGTTAGTTGACGGGGTGTATCAGGGAGATAAGATTTTTCTAATGGTAGTTTTTTAAGGTGATGAATGTGTCTGCAGTTCTAGAGTTCTCAGGTAGGGTGTTCCAGATTTTAGGGCCTTTGACATACATTGAATTTTTGTAAAGGTTTAGTCGGGCACGGGGAATGGGCGTAGAGATTTTGTGTCTGGTGTTATGCCTGTGGTTCTGTCACAACTATCAAGAAAGCATTTTAGGTCAAGGATGATATTAGAGTTTAAGGCCCTGTAGATGTAGATTGCACAGTAGTAAGTGTGGATGTACGAACAGGGAGTAAGTTTAGGTCTATGAAGAGTGGGGGGGTGTAATTGCCAGGGGTGGGATTTAGTGATTATTCTTACTGCACTTTTTGTTGGGTTATTATTGGCTTTAGGTGTGTTGCTGCAGTTGATCCCCAAGCACAAATAGCATAGGTGAGGTATGGATAAATAAGTGAGTGGTATAGTGTGAGAAGGGCATTTTGCGGCACTAGTATCGTATCTTGGAGAGGATCCCAACCGTTTTGGATACTTTTTGGGTTTTATGGGTGGATATGGGTGCTGAAATTCAGGTTTTTGTCAAGGTAAAGCCTAGGGAAATTTGCCCTCATTTGCTGTAATTAGGTATTGTCAACTTAATGTTAATTTGGCATCTCCTGCTCTGCTACCAAACAAATATAGTAATTTTTTTCATTTTTAAGCGTTTTGAGGTGGCAAGATTAGGGTGAGGATGACATAAGTCGTACTCAGCAAGAGAATGGGTTTCAGGTGTTTGGGGTATGTTTTTGGAAATCATTGAGTATATGAGGAAGAGCAGGGGGCCAAGGACATTCCCTGCGGAACCCAGTATCAAATGGGCCCGGGTTTCTGAGCGTGTCCCTTTTTGGTGACATACTGTACCTATTATAAGGAAGATTTGAAATAAGCAAGCGCAGGGCCCCTTTACCGAAGAACAAGTTTTTTGGGGTAGGGTTTTGTGTCTCGTTTTAAAAGCTTTTCTTTGGGCAATAAAAATTTTCCCAGGGATATTCCTTATTTTCCAAGCTGGTAAAGCAGATCAGCATTTTTATATTGCACATTATGCTTTTATTTTTTTCCCAATCCCAAAATTTGGGAGGGGGTTTAGTATTTTTTGCCGTTAAAATGAATACATCTCCTGTCACGAGTTTTTCAAAGATTTTTGGGTAGCAAGGAAGTAAATTGGCCTATAGTTGTTTAACCCTTTGACTGTTTTTCGACTTAAAACTCTTACGAGCCAATTTTCTGACGTATAATACTCAATAATTCAGGGGCTTCAAAAAAGGGGAGAAAGCTGGGGGCCCACTTGAAAAAATGGGTCTTGTGGTCAGGGGGTGGCACCACATAAAAAAAACCTGCAGCACACGTTGCTAAGAGAAAAAAAAAACTCTGCTTTTTTTTGGAAAAAAAAGCCGCTTTGAGTGTATTTTCGTAAGTATTTATCGTTTTTTTGCATTTTCATGGTCTTAGGTGAAAAAAGGAAAACTTTTACAAAAATAGAGATGATTTCTTACTTTTACGATAAAACGACCTTGAAACTGAGCCAAAGTAGCGGAAATTTCGAGAAAAGTAAAGATAAATAAATCACACCACACGTCAATACACGCAACTGGGAACTAATATTTTTTCACTATGCACGATATTATTTATACATTTTTACAATAATGCAGTCGTCTGCATAACAAAAATTTTTTGTATTTTTTTGTATGAATAAAAAAACAAAATAAAACAATAATAAAAAAGGGCCAGAGAAAAGCCCAAGAACAGGCATAGTTATTTTTGGCCACGAATGCTACCCTTGTTTTTTTCCCGGACCCTATTTTGAAATTGGCACTTTTTTAAATTTTTGCGTGAAATTGGCCAAATTTCCCCAAATTTTTACCACCAAATTGGTAGTCCAAATTAGAAATGGGAGGTTTTTTGTTCGGAAGATAAAAAGGAGTTCTAAAAAAAATAGCTAGATTTGGTCAACTGGAAAATGGGAAATTTTTAAAAAAAGGGGTCAAAGTTTGGCAAATCCCGATGCCCTATGTGCCGAGACCGCTAAATTTTGCGGGGCAAATTCCACGATTTTTTGCCAAATTTTGAACTTTTGGGGTCATTACCATCGGGGAAAAAATTTTTCTATCATTTCATAAGAAAAAATAATTTTTTTTTTTTTTTAAAAATTTTAGCGACATAGAATGACATTTCAAGAGGGGGCCCGAAACAGCAAAGGTTTTTCTGTAGGGTCCCACCTTAGATTGGGTAAACCCTTCCATCTTGAGTATTTTTGGGAAGGGGCTATCTCTAGGATTGTTAAAAAGTAATGAAAAAGCATGCGAAAGGACATGGGGCCCTCCCCCTGTACATAAAAATGGTGGGACTGAAAGATTCCCTGAGTTTTTTTTAAATGACTTTTAATTGATTGGGCTAGTTGGGCAAAAAAGGAAATTTAAACCCCCACATTTTTCCCCATATTTTTTTAAATTTGATTTAAATTTAATCCTGGGTTGAAAAAATGTTTTATTTTTTAAGGGGTAGGGGGATGTAGGGTTTTTTTAATTTTTTTTAGTTTGGAAAACTTTTTTTTTCTCTTTGTGGGCCCCTGGCGGGGGGTTTTTTTTCGGTTTTTTTTAAAAATTTCTAGGCTTTTTACGGAGTGTAAATTTTTTTTGGGTTTTTTATTTTGGTGGGCGAAAATTTAAAAATTTTTGGGTTTTTAAAGCCCTGTCAAATTTTTTTTTTCTTGGTTTTTTCAATGGTTTTTGTTTTTGGGTTCCAGGGGCAACCAAGGGGTTTTTTTTGACTGTTTTTTTTTTAAGGCTTTTTTTTGG